ATGAGGCCTCTGTAGTCCCAGATTGGGGAGCAGACAAACTGTGGAGGAAAAGAAAGCATGAGAGAAAGTTGCAGTTCACCAGGAACATTCTTAATTGTTATAGGCCAGTTTCTTCCAGAAGTAGTTGTGCAAGAATAGAAATCCCTTGTCGTTGTTTCTAGAAAGAGTTTGAACATCTGTCCTAAAAATGATCACATCCCTGCCAAAACAGAATAATATGTCTATAAGCAAAAGCAGCTTGTGGACAAAGTGCATACAACCTACAGTGCAGGAAGAGATCTAGGCTTCTCGAATGAACTGTAAGGAAAGAGCAGGCTTTTGTTGGTTTGTTTGTTTTAATTTCCCAACTGTTATGCTCTGATATTTTTGTAAGATGGAATAAAAAGTGAATTGCTAGGAAATGAATTAGACACCCCAAGTCCCTATAAAAACACAAGTCCAAATGTTTTTATTTTTCAATAAAAATTGAAAATAGACTAGATTCAGCAGACATAGAATTATTGTCAAATTGCTATAATCTTTCTAAATGCTCTGAATTGCTATATCTTAACATTTCATCATGAAACACTTTAGAGATCAGCTTCAGTTCACAGACTACACATGAATACTCACAGTCATTCTTCCTCCACTTGGAAATGTTCATGTTTTACACCATCTCTATGAATCTCTCTGCAAACCTAGAACCAGGGTTAGTTACACAATTTGCAGGGCTCAGTGCAAAATAAAAATGCAGGGCCCCTTTTCACAAAGCAGAGAAAAAAGTGACATTGAAGGCACCAAAACATGAAACTTGTTCTTGTCTTCCATGATCTCTCTCTTGACTTGCCGTGATGCTATTTGCTATTAAATGTCATTCTAAGTAAGGAAAAATAAAAATTTTTGATTATCAACATCAATTCAACCATTCATCCTTATGTTGTGCAATACCAACTTTAAATTCAAATATAAAAGCATTTAATCATATGCAGAATTACCAAAATAACATATTTTATATTTCACAGCTCAAACATACATGTCTTCTTACTTTGCACAAAAGAAACACAACTGTTTTCATTTCACTTTTTATGCAAATATATTGTTATCACTTTCTAGCCTACCTTTGGCTTAGTGGTGATAGGTAAAGAAGCACTAAACTAAAAAAAAAGGAATTATGGGTTGCCGTGTCATTCCCTTTTCCTCTATGTCATTGTTTTCACCGTAAGTAGAGTGTAAAGAAGTAACTCAGGTAAGGGTATGATAGAGTTTGCTAGTCATTAATGTTTCTTAGAATATTATTCTCTTCTTCTGTGTTTGAAGCATTTCTGGCTCAGATGAAAACCAGAAGGAAACCTCTCATGGCTGTCAGCGTCCTTGCTTACTCAGTCATAGATGTAACACGCTGATCTTGTATTTGCTTTGAACTTCTACACATCATGAGTCCACTGTAATTCTGTGCTCATGGGGCACTGCAAACACTATACGTAAATGAGATGTCAAGAAACAGTAGACACACATGTTGTGCGTACCTCCTCTGCTTAGGCTCATGCTCCATTGTCCCATCACACTCCACCTACAAAACACACAATGCCAAGAGCAGAGCATACACCAAGCTCAGGGCTCTTATGAGCATGAGACCCTTGCATGGCTTTGCAGGTCACACTCCTATAGCATTTTGTCAACAGCTTTCTTATGGAACATTATCAGGGTTTCTGTTCTGTGTGGTTCAACTCTGAATATCATTTTTGAGGGTTTCAGTCATGTCTTCTTGATCCCTGTTTCAGCTTGGTCTTGTACCTTGTCTTCTTCTGGCAGGTCCTTCATGCCTCTGCCATGGTAAGCTTTCTATACAAAAACTTCATTACACTACTCTTTGTCTTAAAATTCTTTCAGAGTTCCAGTTGCCTTAAGGACAGAGTTAAATCTTTTAACTAAGATGCTACAGACTTTCTTAATCTGGTCCATTCCCTTTTCTCTAGCCTCATCACCAACGATGCTTCTATATATATGCAATTTATAATCTAGGCAGAGTCCTTTCCATGGACCTTCTTGCCACCTTGAACATGTGGTTTCCTCTGCCTGAGAAACCTTTTCTCATTTTTCTGTTCCTCTCCACTACCCCATGTCATGTCCTCTGGATAACACATACTGAGTCTTCAAGATTCAGTTTTTGTAGCATATTATCTTGAGTCTTTCCTAATATCCAGGCTGGTTTGGAAATCCTCCTTCATACTTCTCTGTACCCCCCACTGTGTGCATTGTATTAGTCTGTTCTCACACTGCTAATAAAGACGTACCTGAGACTGAGTAATTTATAAAGGAAAAAGGTTTAGTGGGCTCACAGTTCCACATGGCTGGGAAGGCCTACAATCATGGCAGAGGACGAAGGAAGAGCAAAGACATGTCTTACATGGCAACAGGCAAGAGGGCATGTGCAGGGGAACTTCCCTTTATGAAACCATCAGATCTCATGAGACTTATTCACTGTCATGAGAACAGCATGGGAAAAATGTGCCCCCATAGTTCAATTACCTCCCATAGGGTCCCTCCTGTGACACACGGGGATTATTACAATTCAAGGTGAGATTTGGGTGGGGACACAGAGCCAAATCATGTCAGCCACAGTCCAGGATTTGCTTGCTCTCCAAAAGTAGAGGCTGTGTATCCTCAGGGCCCTTCCTCAAACTTGACACTTGGGAGATGCTTAAGACATCATCCAAGTGTTAGGATGTGGCCTTATGTTGCTTAAGACAAACGTTTGGTTAAATGTTTCTTTAACCAGATAAATGAACAATCAGTATTCTGTACTGATTTGAGCTATGTTTAAATCCTCCCTTGGGACATATTTCAATGTTAGGGAGGAAATCTTCTCTCTCTATGTTCTAACTAAAAAGAGTTTCCACAGTTATTTGTGCAAGGGGATGTGTGTGTTTATGTAATTACTAGTGCTAACTTTTCACCTTTATTGGTCAGAATATGTTTTCATCTTCAACTTTTTGTCCTTGCCAAAATGCTCCTGTGGGTTTCTAAGAGATGCCTTATTTGAGATCATGGAGAAGGCACTGTAGTGTAATGGAAAAAGTGTTAAAGTGTTGGGTTTCAGTCTCAGCTCAGCCTCTTAACAGTTATGTGACTTTGGAGAAGCTCTTTAGTATCTTTGAATATCTTCAAAGAAAGATTAAGGATTGCTGGAAAGAGTAACATATACATACAGAAAACCTTCTTTCCCAGAGCTCATACATAATACTCATGAGTAGCTGTAATTATAATGCTGTGAAATTTCTCATTCCTAAGTGTATAGCTCAGAGTCTGAAATAAGAACTGAAATCAATTCAAAATAATGCACAACATCTAGAATGTTAGATTGAGAAGGATTCAGGATTATAAACTTGATACTTTCTAGATGAGGAGACTGGGTCTCAGAGAGATCAGTGACTTACTTGCCTGAGGTTTCAAAGCTAATCAGGATCAGTCTTGGGACTCAAGTCTTGATATTCTGATTCTAATAGCCATTTAAAAAATTCCCAGTGACAGCCAACTCTGTGTGGAAGGCTGGTTACTGAGAAGCCTGGTCAGTCTGTGACCCTGGCTTCCGTCCATTACATTCCAGGGGCCAGTGCTCTCTTCCCTTCCTGCTCATGTTGGATGTTATGTATATTGATCTAATCAAAGATATGTGGCAATGAGAGTGAAAATACATTAGGGAGAGGAAAATAAAGAAGTGCTTCATGACTAGACAGTAAACATCCAACATATTCTTCTTCTATATTTTGAACTGAAGACCTTCTGAGAGAGAGAGAGAAAGACACCATAAAGAGGACTGCAGTGGCAAGACAGCGGGGTCTGCACGCCTTTTCCTTCTCCTCCTGCAGTGCTGAGCTTCTTTGGGTTTTCTTGGATGCTTTTTGCTACTTTGCCACTCATCAGGGTCACAGTGGAACTCTCTCACTTGACATCTCAACATGAAATTATTTACAGTGAGCTGATACTCATTGAGTCCAGGCTGCAAGGACAGAGAAGAAACTGACCATCTGACTGTGAGGGTATACTGTTGAGAAGACATATAGCAATGAGTCTAGAATGTAGGCCACTATGATATGTGGCTTTGGCATATTGAAAATGCACAGATCTCAAATTCTATTTTATTCTAGAGGTTGGGATCAAGCAGTTATAGTAGTATTCCCTAAGAATTTGCATAGATCTTTATTTTTTTCTTTCAATAACTTAAAAGAATTCCACTTGGATAATATTTGGTGTTTCCTAATTTTAGTATTTTATTTTGCATGATAAGGGAGCATACAATACATAGACTTTATTAGTCTTTTGGGTTTTTTCTCCAAACAAGTACCTGAACTCTCACAGTATGTTATTTATACAAATATGTTTATTATCATACAGGCATAGATTAATCTGCTGTTCTTAAAAGCTTGTTAACTATCCCCCTAATGGACATAGAATCCTTTGAATTACCCTTTGAAACTGCTTTTGCTGTAAATTGCATGGATTTGTAATGATCCATATACCTGACTCATACAATCTCCTACTAAATGAGTGTTTGTTTCCAAGGAGGCCCTGTGAAGTTCAAGGTAGAGTCTAAAATCATGGGAAGAAATTAGAAAGTAGGACTTTGAATGGCAGCCTGAAGCCCACTGTTTTAAGTAACTAATTCATTCAGCCAAAACGTCTGCTATGGTAACACTGAACTATGAATAGGCCACCAAATCTTGACAGTGTTTTTCTTTTTTTCTCAATTTTTATTTTATTTTGGGGGTGGGGTACATGTGTAAGTTTGTTACTTGGGCATATTGCCTGATGCTGAAGTTTGGGGTATGAATGATCCCATTACCCAAGTGCTGACCATGGTTCCCAACACTTAGTTTTTCAGTTCTTCATCTACTGGGTGGAACAACAGGTGTAGTTTTTCTCTCCTTTTTCTTATATTTGACGTTTGTGACCTCTTCCTCCTTTACCAACCACTGAAGAAAAAATCCACTGCCATTGCCTCTTCCTCCTCCTCCTTTTAATTTTTTTTTTTTTTTTTTAAATCTCAGAAAGGTTTATTATCAACTGAAGGAGATAACACATAGCCTTTGCTGGGGACAGTGGTATGGTAAGTCTGTGCCCCATCCTAGGTGTTGCCACGTGTAGGGCTCTTCACAGGCCCGCCCCCCTTGGGCAGCCTGGTAGCGCTGGGCTGGCGCGGCATCCTCTGGCTGGATCCTTCGCGGCTGCTGCGTTCTGCCAGGGCCAGCGCTCCCCTGAGGGCAGTGCTGCCTTTGTGTCTCCCTCGGGTCTCAGGCATGCTCGACGTGGGCAGAGACACGGCCGCAGGGTCCTGGGGCTCGCTCGCCAGCCTCTGCCCGGCACACATGGACTTGAGCATCTGGAAGATGGCGAGGGGGGCCACGTTCAGCTTCAGCAGGTCCACCAGGATCTTAAACACATCGGGGTCGATGGCGCTGCCCGCTGCCTGCGCCAGTTCGTAAAGCTCCATCTCCTCGGCGCTCAGCACCTTCTTCCGCCGCAGCGCCAGCTTCTGCCGGGCCGCCTCCAGCCACGGCGGCGGGGCTGCCGACCCCGGCCCTGGCCCTGCGCCTTGCATCTTTTAATTTTTTAAAAACTTATTTATTTATTTATTTATTTTTCAGAGATGAAGTCTCACTCTGTTGTCCAGGCTGGAGTGCAGTGGCATGATCATAGCTCACTGCAGCCTCAGACTCCTGGACTCATGCAATCCTCCCGCCTCAACCTCTCAACCAGCTGGGACTACAGGTGTATGCCACCAAACCTGGCTAGTTTTTTAATTTTTAATTTTGAAGAGACAGGAGTTTCACTATGTTTCCCAAACTGATCTCCAACTCCTGGCCTCAAATGATCCTTCTGCCTTGGCCTCCCAATGTGCTGGGATTATAGGTGTGAGACACTGCACCTAGCCTTTTTTTTTAAAGTACATTTTTGTTCAATTAATTTTCCCTGAGAGGTCTTGTTATTTCTTTTACTAATCTTTAGCTCCTGATATCCTTCAATTTTTATTCCATTTTGTAGAGTCATCTTTGTCTTTATATCTTTTCTTGTCAGTTGCCCCAAGACTAATCTTTTTTTCATAGTAATTTAGGTGATAAATACCTACTGTTTCATTTAAGCAGAATAAATAGAGTATATTCTCTGAATACTTTTATTCGTGGTGTTTAAAGAATAGATATGCATCTTTAAAGCTTTAAAAACTTATTTTTATTTTAAGGTAAAGAACAGATGTTGTAGGGGTCTGGGACATTATTACATTCATGCCTCCACTTTCAGAACTATTAGTATGATAAAAAAAATATATAAGGGAACAGAGATCTCTGCATACCACTCTCTTTACTCTCTAGAGCATCTGTATGACCATAATATGACATTTTAGCTAATAAGCTAGAACTAATTCATTCAAATGAGTGGTACCCCCTTCCAAGTTGTCACCTTGGAAAAATACACATAAATTCCATTAATGCAGCCTTGTCCAAACAACATTTTATAACTCCCTTTTTGAAATAACCTTGAGAACCTGAGAATGTCCTGATTAGTGGCAAATTGATATACTTTTTTGAGGATGGGCTTGTTTTTTGGAATTAGGCAAATGTCATGTAGAAGTAAAATTGGATGGATAATTTAATAGTGGTATAATATCATCAATGATCTAAAAAGAAATGTGACTCTAAATAAGTGGCACTGATTCTCAAGGCATTTCATACAGAGTCGTAGGAATTTTTTTTAGCAGTGACAGTGCCATTAGAGTAAGTGGGTCATCAACTAAGGTGACTACTTTGTTTTTTTTGTTTGTTTGTTTTTTGTTTTGTTGTTTTTTTTTTGTATAAAACATTTAATTTATTGGTCTTTGTGGGGAATCACTACTGTTTTACAACTGAGCCATTAATTTTGTAGCTTCATCAACATTAACTGGTTTGCTTTCATGACGCTGCTGAGGAATCAGTTCTTTCTGCAGAGGTTCAAGTGAAAGGCCTTTTGAGAAATGTGCAAGTTCCTTTTGTACATCTACAAAAGCTTTATTTACTCTGTTAATTTTTTCTTCATTCATAATGTTTATCTTCTTAAGATTAGTGGTAACTGGTTTTGCTTTGTTTTTAGCCTTAAAGTTTTTTTGGCTGGCTATGTGAAATACATTCCTGGACTTCGGCCCTCTTAATTTGTTTTTGGCCATTGTCATTTGGTGTTTGAGGGCTCTGTTTCTTGCAGCTGCTCCTGCAACACCAGCACTTTGGGAGGTGGATTGCTTCAGCTCAGGGGTTTGAGACCAGCCTCGCTATCATGGTAAAACCTTGTCTCTAGTGCAGCTTCTTAAGCTCCAGGTGACGCCATCTGGCACCTAAGGTGACTACTTTGAAGGCTGTTACCTATTTGATAGAAAGCCTCTGGTATGTTTGTTAAATTAAAAATATGGCTTAGACTCACAATTTATAAAACTTCCTTCTTCTTTGTAAAGTCCTGTATTATCTAGCATTAGGTCAAAAAGATCCTTCATTTGGCCAGAACAAAGGCAACAGTCTCAGCGGGATCAATAACTAGACTCCACCCTTCTTTCAACTTCATAACATGTGATCTTGACTTTCTTTGGCTCTGTGGTTTGCAGGAGTCTTTTTTCTAAATCTTTCATTGTGATGTGTTCCCCTCGAGTTTCTTTATTTCTTGTATTTTTATTTTTCCAAACAAGCATAAAGGATGAAACTGAAGACAGAGAGCCCAATTGAGACAGCTGAGGCAGGGCAGTTTGTCCTGTTGAAAAATAGTTCACTGCAAATGAAACTGCTCTTTTTAAGTATATATGAGATATATATTTTTTCTTTGCAAATGGAAGCTTTGTCAGTCTGCCCAAATTTCTGATAAAAATAAATTATAAATTTATAAAATTATAAATAAAATATAAACATCTTACCAATCTTTTTAGATAAAATACACAATTTTCCTAAATATGTTAACATTACTCTTCTCCCTTGGAGCCACCTCATTTGTGTGACAAACACAGTCTGACATGGTACAAAAGAATTCAGCACTAACTCTTACTGAATTATCACAAATCTTTAATTAAAGGTGTCTACATTTTGAGGATGTTACTGAGGCTTACTTACTAAATACTGTTAACCCACGACTTTGATGTTCATTGAAAAACTTACCACGTCTGGTATCAACCTCATTTCATCTTAATTTTAAACACCTGGGTATTATAACCCGATCCTTGAACTGATGAAAATATCTTTATATTTTGTTTCAAGTTTGCCACCATTTTTCATTCATCTTTTTATATTTTCTCATATGCCTCATATAAGACGTTTGCTTTAAGTGGATGGCACAGGCATTTTTGATACGGTATTTGCTGACAACTTGCCTAGATTCAAGGTGCAACATCCTCTAAAAAATGGAGGAAAAAACCCTTAGTCTTTGACTCCTTTAGTATATAAATAACTGCAGGAGAGAAGTATCACAACACACAATTCCATGTGGAAAGTGTATTTGAATCATTGGGATAAGATAGATTTCATTAATAAGACACACAGTCAAAACTGGCATTACATAAACAGAAATAGAATTCCACTTTCCATGCAAACTTTGTTGTATAACCTAGTTGTGTGTCTCACATTTTCAAAATTCTGATGTATTCTATTTTTGAAGAAAACCATGAGTTCTGCCTTTCTGCTGAAAGCATTTATCTTCCCCCTTTGGGTTGTTCGTGATTTGGTTAAGTCATGCATAGCTTGAAAATCTCACATTTTTGCTTCACTTTAGATAATATTTCTGGATGTTTGGATTAGGATGTCAAAACTCCCTTTGTTCCATTCTCCAAGTTCTAGTTTTAATTCCTTTATCATGCTGCAGTTCGTGTTTATTAGATTTCCCTTGGACCTTTATTCAAAAGGTAATACATCAAATACACAATGTGCCAAGCTTCTCTGCATACTGAAAACAAATATGTGCTTTGGTGTTTAGAACAAGATATAATACGTACATACACAAACATATTTGAAATCTAAATGTCTCCTTCAGGGCTTCCTTTAAAGGAAGTCAGAAAGTAGATCACGGTGGGGATAGAGATGCGGTGGGGGCAGATAAGGAGGAGAAAATTGAACTTTCCAAGATCAGTACTTAACATAAAAATTTCATCACAATCTTTATCATCTTGCAGTGGTTGCAGAAAAGGCCTAGGCTTCCTCCACCTTTACCTTCCTAAAGTCGCCTATTTTACCTTCAAATCTGATGAAGTGTCAAAGTCATTTACCAGTAATGAGTTCTGCTGCAAATTTTATTTTGCTTGGAATTTAATTAATGGGCCAAAGACTTTCCATTGTGATTTGAGCAAATGAATAATAAATCAAGAAAGGAGATTTGTCAAGGAAGGAACATCTGTTTCTTACAAGCGTTACAACATGACTACAGCTTGGCTGTGCATTACCAGCACAAAGACAGTAGGAGTCCTCTCCGGTGGAGCTCTCTTCATTTATTGCTCCACTGAAGGTGAACAGAGAGCACTCTAATGGGCCTCTGGTGTTAATAAAAGCTTTGCGCTTCTCCAGTTTGGCTGTAGCCTCTTCCTTTAGGGTGCTACTGTCCTTAGTACATGGTTTGTTGAGCCACGTCAGGATTCTGCAGTGTCAGTACTTTATTGGATGATTAATAAGGGAAAGACAAATTCATAAGCAGAAACAATATGAAATTACCATCATATTAGTGTTCACTGTCATGCTTTTTATTTTGGGGGGTTTGTAAATGAGATCGTGATTGAAGTTAAGTACTTTGACTTGCACTGTCAAAAAGCAAAAATAGGTCACCCGACCTGTTGGGCTTTGTCTAGTTAACCAATAACAGACTATCTCTAGTAGTGTGACTTTTATAGTAGTGCTGGAGCATGCGTTTGATGGTTAAAAAGAGGAAAAGAATTAGTCTATCCACCAAGATCTGCACCGGTTGGGGAAAAGGAGAGACACGATAGTGCTTCCTCTGCTATTTATTGCTGGAACACACTTTGCTCCTATACACAAAGGAGGTTTAAGTGCCCACTAGGTAGGAATAAATCGCCTTATGAAAATTTGCACTGCAGGGTTCATGATGACCCTTGTGTAATGTTTATAATGTATGCAGAACAGTAATGGGCGCTAATGTCATGCAGAAATAACACCGGGTCCTACGTGTTACCCTTTTTTAAAAACCTTTTTTTGAAGGCTGGTAAGATGATAAGAAGAATTTCCAATTTTATGATTTTTTAATATGTCTCTGGAATACACCTTAGAGGAATGTTTCCCTGATGAACTGAATATTTCCCGTCATTAGAGTAATGTGAAGCCCCCCAAATGGTTCTTTCCGGCATCCTGCACAACGTTGCTCTGTTTGATATGGCATCCTTCATGCAATTTCTGTCTGAAATAGCTCTATAGAGTGAAAGTAAAAAATAGATCTATCAGCTGTGGGAGAGAAAGAAAACAGGAAAACAGAGAAAGGGGTTATTTTGGACAGGATTTAGTAGCACTGAGTCAACATGATGGGCTGGGATTGCTCCCATTTTTCAATGTCTGAGAATCAAGAAAATAAATCTGTCTCGAAAATCCGCATACTGAA